CAAGTTGCCCAGGTGGGTCTCGAACCTGCGGGCTCAGGCAGTCCACTCACCTCAGCCTCCCAAAGCGTGGGATTACAGGCTGAACCACTGAGCCCAGCTTGCATTTCTTTTTTAGCTATAGCTTACTAGAGATATTATGTTAAAAATGGGCATTGAAGTAATTTTTTTATGTTTGGTTATATCAACAATTTAATATCCACTTTGTCGTTTGTTTCTGTTTACTTTTAGCCATTTTTTTGCAATATTTTGACTAATAAAACTAGTAATATCAATAAATCAAAATTTTTTTACTGAGGTATAATTTATATGCAGACATATTCATTAATTTTAGGTGTACAGTTTGATGACTTTTACTAATTATATGCAGTAATGTAACCTCCAGCACTGTCAAAATAGAGGATATTGGCCAGGTGCAGTGGCTCAGGCCTCTAATCCCAGCACTTTGGGAGGTCAAAGTAAGAGGATCACTTGTAGCCCAGGAGTTCCAGGATACAGTGAGCTATCACATCACTACACTCCAGCCTGGGCAACAGAGAAGAGACTATCTCAAAAAAAAAAAAAAAAGAAAAAATATAGGATATCACCCTAAAAATGTTCCTTGGGCCTTTTTGCAGTTGATTCACTCCTCCTGGCCCTAGAAAACCACTGGCCTACTTTTTGTCACTACAGTTGTAACATTTTTAGAATTTCATATCAGTGGAATCATATAATGTATAGTTTTTTGTGTGTGTTTAACTTTTTGTACTTAGTAGAATGTTGTTTTAAACACTCTTATGGTGCTTGCTTATGTTATCAATTTATAATCTTAGACTTTCCATAAATCATTTTTATTTCATACTTTTATATGGTATATTTGACATCATTTCCTTCTTAAAACAAGGAAATATAGAGCCTTCAGACCCAGGGAACCTTAGATATGTTTATGTCAGCCTCTCCAAAGAGGGTATCTCAATAATTTCTAAAAGACTAAAACCACATATTTCATCTGATAATTATAATAAATGATTAAGTAGGAATTAAGTGTTGCTATCAGAAATGTCATTAATTTGGGATTAATAAAAATAAATTAAAATAGTCAGGCTTGGTGGCTCATGCCTGTAATCCCAGCACTTTGGGAGGTGGAGGTCAGAGGATTACCTGAGCCTAGGGGTTCAAGACCAGCCTAGTTTGAGACCTGCCTAGGGAACATAAGGAGACCTTGTCTCTACAAATTAATTTAAAGAAAAAAAAATTAGCCAGGCATGGTGGCACATGCTTATAGTTCCAGTTACTTGGAAGGCTGAGGCAGAAGGATCACCTGAGCCCACAGGTCTAGGTTGTGATGGCTGTGATCGTGCCACTGCACTCCAGCCTGGGTGACAGAGTGAGACTCTGACTCAAAAAATATATATATCTAAAATAATATCCTCATGTATTATTGTCAAATTAGAATCTGCAAAGAGGTGCCCAGAGTTATAATCTCTTAACTATGATAGATTTACATTCTTTGTAGTTTTACTCTCTGTTTATTTAGTTAGTTTTGTATTGTCCATTTAATTCATGTTCCCTGTTATATGCTTTCCTACTTTAGTTTCTGCCAACAATTTAGTTGACCAATGACATCGTGACCTTGTGATGTAGTTCTTATAGTAATAGAGTTTGGTTTTTTTGTGTTTTTGTTTGAGTAGTGTTCTCACTGTGTCACCTAGGCTGGAGTGCAGTGCCAAGATCTTGGGTCTCTGCGGCCTCAACCTCCTGGGCTTAGGCAATCCTGCTGCTTCATCCTTCCAAGTAGCTGGGATTGCCACCATTCCCAGCTAATTTTTTAAAAACTATTAGAGGAAAATAATATATATGTGTGTCTGGGAATTTCCTCTGCCCCCTTTTTTTTTTTTTATAAGAGACAGGGTTTCACTGTGTTCCCCAGGCTGGATTGAAACTCCTGGCATCAAGCCATCCTCCTGTCTCAGTGTTCAGAGTAGCTGATCTGTGTCCAAACATGTGCCCCCACACCCAGCCTGAATATATTTTCTATCTTTGCGTAAGGAGGGATTTCTTAAGTCATAAAAACCATTAACCTTAAAAATTACAAATTAGCCTAGTACTGCCCCCACACCCAGCCTGAATATATTTTTTATCTTTGCGTAGGGAAGGATTTCTTAAGTCACAAAACCATTAACCCTAAAAATGATAAATTAGCCTGAGTACAGGGACTGATACCTGTAATTTCAGCAGTTTGAGAGGCTGAGGTGAGAGAATTGCTTGAGCCCAGGAGTTCGAGACCAGCCTACGCAACATAGCAAGTCTTCATCTCTACAAAAAAATTAGCCAGGCGTGGTGGCCCACACCTGTAATCTCAGCTATTCCAGAGGCTGAGGCAGTAGAAAATTGCCTGTGCCCAAGAGATCAAGGCTGTAGTGCACAGGGATTATACCATTGTACTCCAGCCTGGGCAACAGAGTGAGACCTTAACTCAAAAAAAAAAAAAGGTGATAAATTTCACTGCTTTAAAATGAAAAATGTTTATAAATCAAAGGACATCTTAAAGAAGGTAAAAACACAGGTCACAAAATAGGAAAAGATATTTGACACACATATCACTAATGATCAATTAGTATTAAGAATAAATATATAAAGAACTGCCCTCCTATAAAATGATATAAGTTATGAGTCATCTGGATAAATTCCTGCCAGCCCTGGCCAGCGTGTTTATCCTTCTCTCCGTGGATCTCCACCACAGCCATGCTCCGCCAGATCTTCTTTAAGGCCAAGAAGCACCCAAGCTCGATCTCCCTCTTTGTATTTATTGGTGTTGGAGGTACTGGAGCTACACTCTATCTCATGCATCTGGCGATGTTCAATCCAGATGTTAGTTGGGACAGAAAGAATTACCCACAGCCCTGGAACAAACTGGGTTCCAGTGATCAATACAAGTTCTACTCAGTGAATGTGGATTACAGCAAACTGAAGAAAGAGAGTCCAGAGTTCTAAATGAAATGTTTCACTATAAAGCTGCTTAGAATGAGGGTCTTCCACTTAACCAGGAAATACTTCTCTAAATGCTTGAAATCACGTTGATGTATTGTGTTGGGGGTTCCAATTATTAATAAATACCTGAAACTTGAAGAAAAAAAAAGTCATCCAAGTAGGAAAATAAGTGAGATTCATATCATGAACAGGTATTTCATAGAAAAAATAACATATATGACCTATCATGTGTTCAACCCCATTAGTAATATGAAAAATACAAGACCGGGCACAGTGGCTCAAGCCTGCAATCCAGCACTTTGGGAGGCTAAGGTGAGAGAATTGCCTGAGTCCATGGGTTTGAGACCAGCCTGGGCAACACAGGCAACATGGTGAGACCTCGTCTCTACAATAAATCAAAAAATTAGCTGGACGTGGTGGCACATGCCTGTAGTTCCAGGAAAGCTGAGGTGGAAGGATCACCTGAGCCCAGCAGGTCAAGGCTGCAGTGGCTGTGAGCAGCGTGCCACTGCACTCCAGCTTGGATGACAGAGTGAGACTCTGACTCAAAAAAAAAAAGAAAAATACAAACCATGCCACATTTTGCACCATTTGATTGGCAAAAACTGCAAGGTTAGCCAATAACAAATGATGAAAAGAGATGGATCAAATAGTATTTTAATATGGGAAACCCCCCAAAAAACCTCAGAATTATTTTTTGAACGGCAGGCCATTCCTAATACAGGCTTCCCCCACCAGATGAGTGTTCTAGGAACCCACTGACATCGGTGAACCAGCTGGCATTGTGAGAGACTGTGTTTGGCCTTAGTGGATTTTTTTTTTCTGTCAGTATGTTTGCCCATTTTATGATGGGTAATTTACGAGTGCAACTACACCGAGTATTCAAGTTTTAAAACAAAAACGGCACGACTCCCATCCTCCACCCTCCCTATTCACCCAATCTCTCCCCGAGCGACATTTTTTGGTTTTCCCAGATGAAAAAAGTCCTCAAAGGGAAAGGTTTTGCTGGTGTGGAAGAGGTGAAACAAAACAGCAGAAGCACTAAAAGTCATCAAAATTGACAAGTTCAGAAACTATTCTAAGCAGTGGAAAAGCATCTTAATAGGTGTGTTGCATCAAACAGCATTTTGAAGGTGACTGAAGTTTAAACATATAAGAATAATTACTCAATTTTTTATAAATAAAATCTGAATTTTCTTGGGTCCCCTTCATACTACTTATAATTGAGGAAATATTACAACCACTTTGAAAAACAATAATTTCATAAAATTATTTCATGAAAAGCATTATCTTGTGAAGTTGAACATTTGTATAACCAATGACCCAGCAGTACAGAAGAATGGATAAATGATTATGGTGTAGACACACTGTGTATTGTTGTACAGCAGTGAAAATGAATTAAATACAACAACCTGTGGGGTGCGATGACTCAAGACTGTAATCCCAGTACTTTGGGAAGCCAAGGCGAGAGAATTGCTTGAGCCCAGGGGTTTGAGACCAGCCTAGGCAACTTGGTGAGACCTCATCTCTACAATAAATCAAAAATAAGCCAGGCGTGGTAGCACACACCTATAGTTCCAGCTACTTGGAAGGCTGAGGCGGAAGGATCGCCTGAGCCCAGCAGGTCATGGCTGTGGTGGCGTGAGCGACAGGAGTGAGACTCCAACTTAATAAAAAAGCAAAAAAAATAAATACAGCAATCTGTATTACAATTCATGGCATAATGTTGAGTGAAAAAACGTCTCAGAAGACTATGTCAAGTATGCCACCTTTTAGAAGATGATAAATCAGGAAAAACTATAAATAGTATACAGTGTAGATCTTTTTTTTTTTAAAGCAAGGAGATGATACCGTTTCTGATTACCTTAAGAGTGAAACAGGATAATGGGATGAGAGAAGGAGTGAACTGGGAAATAAACACTTTTGGAAATATTCTTGTGTTTGAGTTGGGTTCATAATATGTCATTATTTATAAGTAAATTAAAAGGGCACATACCAGTGTTGATAGTGTCATGAATCAAAATTTATGATTGATTCTTTTGTGTACACCTGAAGTCTTGAAGAAGAAAAGGGAAAACCAAAGATGAGAAGATGGTTTTCTACTCTTGCCTGAAAAAGCCCAGTCTAGAATGTAGTTATTAATAACTGCTTAAGTGAGTTATGGAATAGGGGCAAGGAGAATTTGCAGGTCAGCATTGAAACCCAGTAAATTGAAGCTGTCTGCTTTATTTATTTCTTTAAATTGGAGGAGAGAGGGCAGCGTATGTGTTGTATTATTCTGATTTCTGTCAGTTGTTTTATGCATCTTGTAGTGAAAATTTAAACTTGTGCCATTCACTACTAAACACATGCATTTTTTAAATGTTAAATTAATTTCAATTTTTGTTTTATTTTATTTTAATTATTCATTCACACTAGTCACATTTCAAGTGCTTAATAGCCACATGTGACTCATAGTAACCACATTGGACAGCACAAATATATAACATTTTCATTACTTCAGGAAGTTATATTTGACAGCATAAGAACTCTTCACAGAAATCAAATACACATTGATTCCTTTCATATTCCCAGAATTATATTAGCTAATTTTTATTAGCAAAACAGACATACCATAAATGACTTTTGCATTGACCTATGATTATAAAAGATTGGAGTAGTATTATTTTTAGGTTGTAGTTAGAATGATCTCTCTCCATATCTAATTTTTCCTAACACTTTTCTAGCATTGTTTATAATTTGGCCAAGGACAACACAGGAAATCTGCCTTTATGCTTTATAATTGCAAAATTTAAGGTGCAATTCCGATGCAGTTATAGTTATTAATTCTTTAAAGTAAATTGAACTAGTGTTGTATGATACTCTGTTGTTCATTGTAGGAAGGGAGAAAAGAAAAGTCCTCTTTCTTATATCTCGCATATCCTGTGCCAGGTGTTACACACAGCAATTTAAATACTTCATACTAAAATTATTTCAAAGTATTTGTAAATTACTGATTTATTAGATAGTTTTAAGCATATGTCATATATTTTTTATTTTATTTGTACTTTTGGTATTAAATTATTGATGACACATTAAAAAGCATATTACTTATGGACACGTTGAATATGTTTATATTATTATTGCCTAATGAATAATTATACTGGGATTTTTTTATATATATATCCATATATAGTTGTTGAAGTCCGAAGAGGATTCCTCATATAAACCTGTGAAGAAAGCTTGTACTCAACTTGTTGATAACCTAGTTGAGCACATTCTTAAATATGAGGAATCTCTAGCTGGTAAGACATTTTTTATATATTGGTCTTTAGTTGATTTTATAAGATATTTTAAGATACTTTGGGCATATTTCTCATTTTTGCCTCTAACTCTTGTTTGCCTAATGATTACTTCACTTTTAAATGAAATATGTTTTTTGTTGTATAGATACTGTTTGATGTTACATCCTAGCTTACATTGGTAGATTATCTAGAGAAATGTAATAAAAGCGTATCTTTTCCATATATCTTTCAATAGCATATAATTTTAGGTGTCATATTGAACAGGAATAAAAGTAAGTCCAAGGACTAATAATATGTGTTTAGCTAATAGCACTCATCTTAAAACTGCTGTTTGATACCTTATAAATCATATAAAATTTTCTCTAAAAGTGAAATTGTTTTAGCTATTATAAAAATGTTTTTTAAAATTTGAATTACATTTCTAATATTTATAATTTTATACAAAGTTTACTTAATCTGGAGCTAGAAATTGGTTAAAATTTTTACAATTCACAAATTCTTTAAATACCTATTATTTTATATTATCTGTCACATTACTTATCAGTCACAAATCTGAAATGTTTTAATTATAAATAAATAATTATATTAGAATATAAAAATTGATTTTAAAAAATACTCTGTACTGTCGGGCTTTTTGGCTCAGCCTGTAATCCCGCGCTTTGGGAGTCCGAGGTGAGTAAGTTGCCTGAGCCCACAGGTTCGAGACCTGCCTGGGCAACTTGGCGAGACCTCATCTCTACAATAAATCAAAAAAAAAAAAAAACCTAGCCGGGTGTGGTAGCGTGCACCTGTAGTTCCAGCTCCTTGGAAGGCTGAGGCGGAAGGATCATCGGAGCCCAGCAGGTCGAGGCAGCAGTGGCCGGGAGCAGCCACTGCACCACAGTCTGGGTGACAGAGACTCCAACTCAAAAAAATAAAAATAAAAATATTCTGTAATTTTCACTGCTTAAAGTACACAAGACTAGCATTACTTCCCATCTTCTAATTCATATTAATGAGAAACAAGAGTTAGTCTTTGTCATTCTCCAGAATTGAGTGCCAGAGGGATATCAATTATATAGTACCTAAGAAAATTGTTGATATCCTTTATATTTTTATGGAGTTTTTTTCTTTAATTTTTTTTTCATTTCTCATGCGTACTTCTTTTTTTCCATTTATCTCCTTGTTCTGTTTTCCCTATTTTTATCCAGCCTAGAATTTAGGGGTGATCCTGGTGTCCCTTTAATGTTAAAAAGTTGCTGATTCCCCCTAAAAATTCATTTGTTTCCTAAGAACCAGTGTATCTCCTAACTAGCAACATTTTCTTCCCAACTGAGTAGCATTTTAACTCATTAGTGTAGCTTTGGTATAACTCCTCAGTTTGTCACTCCCAGCTTTTGACATTCTTATACCATAGCAACATCTCTTTTTTCCCAGTATCCTTAAACACAGTATCACCTCAGCTAAATTGCTAATGTTCTTTCCCATATTCACTTTCATTAACTTTTAGATATAACCATCATCATTTATTCCCAAAAATCCATCCCTAAACTTCCCAATTTTCATTCTATTTTTAACTTCACTCCTATTCCTCCTACTATAAAACTTGCCTTCTGTAGCCTGGCCTCTTTGTTCTTTATCTTCAGTATATGTAATTTCTATAGCAGAGAAAAAATGAGATACAGAAAATACAGTATCATAAAAAGTACTGATCCATTATATTAAGGCCTATACTTAATTTACTTAGGAGATCATATTGAGTAATTTAAATAATACTC